ACTCCAACCTTGTTGATATAGAAATATGCAAATATGTAATGAAACCTCTCAAAAATGGAACATAAAATGTTCGACAATGAAAATATTTAAATTGATGTCAATATATAGATCAGATTAAAGAAAATTATACATCACATCCATCAATTCATTATTGTAGGAGATGTCGTCCATATAAGAGGAAAAAATGTATATTTTTCCAATGTAAATCAATGCCGCTGCAAAATACATTGAAAAAACAAGTTTATATATTATATCTGAGATCACTAACCTTCAATATTGTTGAACACCTCACACAACTTGCAACAGAAAATGTTCTGCTTCACCAACTGCCTCAACTGATGTTTGTATAAGTTACAACTGCACCTTTCAAAGGATTTACTAGGACTAACGGAGCAAGAATTAGAGAAGTCGTAGACTTAATCTGTCTTCCAGAAAATCATTTACCAACTTGAAGGTAAACTTGGGAATTATGGAACCTTACTCGTATTTCTCTTCCGTAGTCGCAAATCTCTTTTCGAGTACAACTTCAGTGTACCTAACTTTTACAACTTTTATACAACTCAAGAATCATAATGGAATCCTCACATGTTCGATGGATGATCTATTCTTATCAAATATAGGATAGATAAAATAAATTTTATCTAGTTTCTTCTAAGATTTTGATGTGTTACGACCAGTTTCGGTTTATTAAACCATTCTGAAGATTACAAGTGATCAGTTTTGAATAGAGATTTCACAGGTACCTGGAAACAGGCATTCGAATATATCAATTATCAAGGGATTATTTCCTCTCCTTAATGAAGTAATAAATATAATAACAAAAGATAAATCCAAAAATACTCAAGAGTATACCTAGTTGTTTCAATATATCCGTTATTTCATCGGAAAAGACATATTTTTGGAGAAATTCGTTTGTGAGAAGAAACTCTACTCATCCAATGATTCATGAGGCGAGGCAAAATGTATAGATAAGGAAGAAAAATTGAGTTAACCAAAAAATTGATAAATGGAAAAATGTCTTTTTAGTATATCTGATTTTATAAAAATTTATTCTCAGTGATTAACTATACATGATGTGAATTTTAGTGTTAGTGTATTTTAACCTTTTTTTATGTAAACTTTTATTTTATTTTAATGTACTACTTTACCTATAAGAAAATAACGGGTGGTGACATGTCAATTTTTATTTATATGTAAAAATTTCAATCATCAATGATTCCTGAGGCGAGAGAAACTGTATAGAAAAGGTCAATTAATGGAAAAATGTTTTTATAGTATATGTGATTTCATAAAAATTCGTACTCTGTGATTAACTATGTGTGATGTGAATTTTAGTGTACTATATTTTAACCATTTTTTTTATTTTCATTTTATTTCATTGTACTACTTCACCTACAAGAAAATGACATGTAGCCACATGTTAATTTTTATTTATATGTGAAAATTTCAATCTTTACAGAAATTTCGAAGTTGAAAGGCAATTCGCCTGATATTAATAATGAGACATGTGAATAAAAACTAGCACTTTCTAACTACCATATGCTAGGTCTAGTAAGTAAAAGTGCTTGGGAAAAACCCAAGCACTTACTCGCGGGGTGGTACATGCTAAACTAAGTAAATGCTAGGTTTTAACGTTCCTGTCACGACACGTTCTCCCCTCCATTACTTTTCACTCTACTCCACATCGGTGGTCCCTCTCTCACTCTGTTCAACCACGTGCTAGAAGATGTATTCATCATCAGAAGAATCTGACAATGATTTTAATGAAATAGAAAAAATTGATCGTATTCTGTTTGTACGTCTCCTTCAGGATCACATTGTCTTACTTAGCAAATCAAAAACCCCTGCTGTGATGAATGCTAAGAAAGGAGCTTGGGGAACCTTAAGTTCTGACTACTGTGGTGCATTGGGGAAACAAGTTACTGTAGACCAACTCATAAAAGCATTGAACAATGTGAAGTCTACCGTCAAGAAGAAGACTGACGTAAAAGTGACGGGAAACAGGAAAATAAAACTACAACCGTGGGAAAAACATTCTTGGAGTTGATAGAAAATGATAATCCAGTATTCCATAAAATCCCGGGTATATTTCAGTTGGCACAAGTGCCGGGCCCCCAGTTCAGCAACCAATCAGTGATGACATCCAAGAAAGTTTGCCGAATACAGAAACTGAAGGGAAACCAAATGAAAATGAAGAATCGAAGAGCCAAGAAACAAAGAACCCGATGAAAACTGAATCTGATGCCGACCACCACAAAAATAAGATCAGAAAAAGTGAAAAAATTCTGTCGAATCATGAAGCAGATGAAACTAAAGACCTGTCCACACCGCAGTTGCAAAAGATTGTTTTGTTGCAACAATACAAACTGAATAAGATCAAACTGGAAAAAGAAACTATATTGCTGGAAACCATGAAGAAGCAAACTGTTGAAAAGTCTACTCAAACTGATGTAACTGTTGATGATTGCCATACTCTATTCATATTGTAATCAATTATAAGCTACATAAGTTGTATTTTCCTTTGGATTGTAATAATGTAGGATTCTTAGGATTATAATTCTTACCATTGTAATCAAACTTGTAATTTGAAATTACAAGTTTGAATAAAAACTAGTATATAAAATAAGATAATTTTCTTCAGTAAATAAACAAAACCCATATCCCAAAAAAATATACAAAATTGTATGCAAGTAGGTGCTTGCGTGAGAAAAACATGAAAATGTTACTAAGTTCAATTTCACAATTACAATTTCCTCACTGAATATTCAAATACGCCATCATATTGGCACACTTGTCTTTGCCTCTTAATGTTGTATCGGGATTTTCATAATGAACCACCCCAGGTTGGTCGTCTTCATTTGGGACGCTATCAAGATCCCCATACTCAAAGTCATCTTTTAGCTGCTTGGCAATATTGTGTAGCACAGCGCAACTGACTACCACTTGTGGAATGTTGTTTAATGCAACTCTAACACAGTTTCCCAGGATTGGGAATCTCCTTTTTAACTGGCCAAAACACCTTTCTATTATAACCCTTTCTCTAGCATGGATTAGATTGAACTCTCATTCTTGATGCGTTCGTGGAGGCTTGAACGGTATAATCAACCACGGCGATAAACCGTATCCTGAATCTTCCAAAAGACAAACTGCTCCATCATACTGTAACACGATGTCTCTGACACGACTATTCCTCCACACTCTGCCGTCGTGAACACTGCCGGGCCACTCCGCACTAATACTTGTGAACTGTTCCAATGCCTTGCATGTTGCCTGGACATTTATACTAGGATATCCTTTCCTACAAATATATTCATCACCGTGCAGCCTAGGCTTTTGTATCTCAATTTGAATACAATCAAGGGCACCAATTACAGACGGCAAACGAAAATATCTCTGCCACAAAACATTAGCCTCGGTCATATCTTCAGCTGTAGTTGGAAACAGTATCCAATTATGTGATTGTTCAACTACTCTACTCATCACGTACCTTATAGTCTTGCTAGCAGTAGTACGATGTACACCCACATCTTGAGTTACACTAGACTGAAAGCCAGGATCACCCACAAACCTCAGAAATATATTTATCCATTTGCTGTCTTCTGGAAATACCACCGCCACGAGTATCACTTTCTTCAAGAAACTGTGCCGTGAGGAAATCAACACTCTCACTGTTAAACCTAAACAGTTCTTTACAATTACGTTCGTTTATTCCAGAGCGAACAGAATAAATTTTACGTTGACGAATAGGCATAAACTCAGCCATGATCAACAACAAACTGTGGACTGAGCAGACAGGTAGTAAATGCTAGGAAAAAGTCTAGCATGCCCCAAACCAGGCTTGAAAATATCGAGGCATATGCTACAGAACAATCTACTTCAAAAGTTTTATTCACACCATGTTTAAGCATTTACTACTCGTCCGGGTAAACTCTAGAACTTACTACCTCTAGCAAGTGCTAGTGTGTTTATTCACACAAAACGTGGCATTTACTTAAGAAATCCCTAGTATTTGCTTATACTAGTTTTTATTCACATTACTGATTATAATTAAGGTCTGTACTGGTTGTGGCATACACGTGCTGGTTCTGGCGGCTCCACTTCCTTGTGGAGCTCTTGCTGTCTTCTAGCTAAACCTGTTCTACCATCACTCTGAAGTAACCACTCCGTTGGAGGTCATTTTTGATGATGCCTATTTCTTTTTCGAAACCTTCCTTTGTAATATAGAGCTCGAAAGCACGGTCTAGTGAAGTCTTGATGAAACCTCTCTTAGTCGACTGATGGTGGTTGGATTTCTGGTTCAGATACTGTCCTGTGTGAGTGGGTTTTCGATATACAGATGTTTCCCATTTAGTGTCGGTCCTCTTCACCAATATGTCTAAGAATGGGAATTCGTTATGAACTTTCTTCTCCATTGTGAAAGTGATTGAAGGACTCACGTTGTTGATGTGCTTCAGCAAAGTGTCTAGTTCTGCATTTCCATGGTTCCATATTATGAAGGTGTCGTATCTCAATCAAACTCGGGGCTTTTTGTAGGCCCCTTCAATGACCAGAGTTTCAAATTACTCCAAATACCTATTGGTTATTACCGGTGAAAGTGGCGATCCCATTGGCAGTCCCCCATCTTGCGTAAAGAATTCGTCCTTCAGTTGGAAGTAGCAGTTTCGTACACAGCTTCCTAGTAATTCCACGATTACTTATATCGGCAAGTTTGTTCTGTCTTTCAGGTCCCCATCTTCGGATAGCTTTTTCTGTATGATTTTATAGTGCTTCTACGACGGAAAAGTTGGTGTAGAGGCTTTCTACGTCGAAACTGATCAATTAATCCTGCTCTTTGACTTCGATATCCCCTAGTAGTTCAATAAAATGCCTTGAATTTCCCACAAAAGATTTGGAACCCCCCTATATACACCAAAGCGTTAGAAACTGAAATCCCTGTAAGACCTTAGCTCTTATGTTAGAAAAGTACCTTCTCAAAAATATCTGAGAATGAATCAAAAATGGAAATCAAAACTGTATATATTCACTAGTTATTATAAATATCGGATAAGGAAAAAACTAGAAAAAATATTGAATCAAATACATCACTGTTCTCCTAGTTTCGAAAATTTGTGCAAGCAACTCTCAGATTGAAAGTTAACATGAAAATAACTTACAGAATCGAGTAAGTTCTTAAACAAGCAATAAACATTTTTCAAAACGAAATGAGATATTTCATTGTTAATTTTCAAGCTCCACCATTAGGAGTTCAGGATCTAGACCTATATCTCGACTTTTTCACACATTCAGGAGAATATGACTCAGAACGAGACCGTTTGGTGCAGCCATTGGGTGATTTCGATCTTGAAGTGGACCTAGACCTTGACTTTCTGTAATCAAGATTGGAATGGCTGCTTGACTCGCCTCCAGAATTCGTACAATCTGAGTAATCCTTCGACTGGGATCTTGACATTGATCTGCTTGACTTGGATCTAGAAAAGCTGTCTGAACGAGAACGAGAACCTACTCCGGAGTGAAACAGTGGCTCATTATCACCAGATCTTGGTCCAGATCTCCTCGAGGAATTTTTGGAACCACCTTTGTAATCAAATGTATTCGAATCCTCTGAATGAGACCTCGACCTACTTCTTGAATAGTTCATGCAGGTTGATCTAGATCTCTTCTGAGAATTTTTGGAACCTCTTCGTGAACCATGTTTGTGATCATATGTATTTGAATCTTCTGAATGAGACCTCGACCTACTTCTTGAATAGTTCATGCAGGTTGATCTAGATCTCTTCTGGGAAATTTTGGAATCTCTTTGTGAACCATGTTTGTAATCATATGTATTTGAATCCTTTGAATAAGACCTCGACCTACTTTTCGAATAGTCACTACAGCTTGATTTTGAATATTTTCCTGAATCGCCACTTGAGTTACTGCGGCTTCTTCTGTTACTGAAATAAACACGGCAAATTACAATAAAATAAAATACAAGCAGCAACCAAAAAAATGAAAAAAATGAACTACAAACACGGGATGAAAACTAAAAAATTATTAACAAGTGACATAAGGGTCACAAGGACAATGAAGAGGCCGATTCTTCGGCATTTGCTGCCTCAGATTTCAGTTGGCGACACAGTGATTTTGATAAAACTGAAAGTAACCATTCCATAACTAGTATGGCACACGCAATAAAAATTGCTGTTACTTCTCAAAAATTGTGAGCTAAGAAGCGAGTTTCAAAAATGTTATGTCTGTAACAACTGTCTAACCTGTTGTTGGAGTATTCATATGTCGATTTCATACTGACTGAGCGGGATCTTGACCTCAACCTGTTCAGAGAACGAAGAGAGTCTTTTGAATTATTGACTACTCGTACCTCACTGGCCACATCCTTGGTAGAAACTTTTGCACTGCCTGTATTATTTGTAAACCTGTTACGGGAATATCTGCAGACTCTTCTGGTTCCATCCGATCTGCTCTCCGGGTAGTCCCTGTAAGTCGATTTCGAATATTTTCCTGAATCACTACTTGAAATACTGCGGCTTCTTCTTTTGCTGAAATGGTACTCATGATAAGTTTATTCACATTTACAGAGTAAAAAATGTCAACAAACATTCGTTTGAGAATAGTTCGCAATTCTTTCACTTTTCTTTTCCCAGACGGAAACAGAAACACACATTTCCTTATTCGTTTAATAATAATAATAACCAAAGTTGGGAACTAAACGGTTTATCATGGCCTGCTAGGATGGAGTCTTCAACATCTAAGTCTATAGCAGTCGCATAATGTGTATATAGAGGTTCCTCATACAAAGTGCATTTCTCTTTAGGACATTTGTGATGCACTTTTTGGAACCTTTGGTGTAGTAATGAATATTACTGGAGATTTTCCCAAACCAAACCGTTATTTCAACGAATGTTCACCTCGACACGTGTTTCGATCACCAAGTGATCATCTTCAGAATGTAACTCAGTTTATTCTTTCTGTTGAAGTCGACCACTTGGTGATTGAAACACGTATCAAGGTGTTGAAATAACGGTTTGGTGTTGGGAAAAACTTTAGTAATATTGATATTTCATCAGCTCATAAATTGAAGTCGAACTGCACGAAGTCGGTAGTAATGATGTCTGGACCGGAAAGATTGCGGGATATTGCTAAAAATAGTCTTTATATTCATATAAGTGGTGACGTTCTGCCTTTTGTAACTGAAGCAAAGAATTTAGGCCTGTGGTTTGATTCTGAACTGCTCTTTACAAAACACGCTAGACATTTGATTCAAACGTCTTTCAACATCTTAAGGCAGCTGTTTCCAAATCGGAACTTACTCACCAAACAATTTCAACTAAAATCATGTGGGGCGCTGATCATTTCGACAATTTTATATTGCGATAGCATTTATAGCCTTGCGTCACTTCAATCTGATTCCCTCCGTATTCAACGAATCCAAAATAGTTGCCTTCATTTTTCTCTTGGCATTCGAAAATACGACCACATATCACCGGTCATGAAGGAATCAGGTTAGCTGCAACTAAAGAAACTCAGGACACTGCACCTCCTCACAAACACCCACAAAGTCTTGAAGACTGGAATGCCAAATTATTCAATGAAAAAATTGAATTCTTCCTCAAATATCAACAGCTTCTCCACTAGAAACTGGTGATTATTCCTGAACACAGGTCTTCTGTGTTCTCGAAGGTTGAACTTAAAAACAGCTGACACTCCATCCATTCACCTCAATATTTTTTGTATATTCTGTATGTTCTTACTTCAGGTGAATGAAGACGTTTTTTTTTTTACCGTAGTGTGCGCTGGTCAGGCCCTATCACCCGAAGCCCCGATACACTTGGAAGGGCGCACCAGCATTATCAACCAATGATCACTCCCCACACCGTGGAGTGAGTGATCACTGGGTCCGAGAATCACGTGCCCTGAGCAAGCGCAGTGAGCCAAAAATGACAGCCTTCTGCATCTGTGCGGCTAAGATTTCCGCCTTAGTGCGGCAAGCCGGTATGATTTGAAGATTCAAGAGTAGAGATGACATCATTCCACCAAGGACTCCAATAATCAGAACAATCATATTGACAGAGTGCTCTGGATAGAGTCTGCGGAGTTCGAAGAGAAAATCTCGATATTCAATCCGACAAATATCGTTTTACTCTGATGGTCGAGAAGGACCACATCAGGTTTATTAGTTCGTATGAGCCTGAGGGTGGGGAACGAATAGTTTCAATAAATTTGGCACTTCTCGTTCCCCAGACCGCATTGTCTGGACATGTTGATAGCAAGTGCATTAGAGTCTCGGGCGCCTCGTGGCAGGCCCTGCACCTTGTGTTAGGAACCTCTAGACCCATCACGCGACTGCGGTAGACTGAGGTGTTGAAGACACCATCCTGGCAAGCCATGATGAACCCCTCAGCTTCCGACTTCAGCCCACTCGACCTGAGAAAAGCGAAGGTCAGGTCCTTTGATAAGCCAAGGTCTCCAATGTTATTGAAGAAGACCAAATACATTGGCTCATCCTTGTGTTTCCGCGGAAGTAAGGTGATCTCTGAGGCTTTTATCTGAGCTTTTTGCTGAACAGGTTCCAACTGGGTGACAGAGTTGTGGTCACCTCGTTCATTGTCGAAAACTATACCGAGTTCATCAGCTGCTCGGCTAGCTGCCCCAAAGAAAAATGCTCCAATTCCTGCTCTCTCATGGTCACGGACCATGCAGAGAAGGCGGTTCGAACTTCTGACGACTTTACAGGCTGTATCCAGTACCATTCTGTCATGTAGACACCCCAAACTCAAAAGTCCACGGACTCCCTGTTGTTGGGGGAAGAACAACCGTGGAACGAACGATTTGGAATGCAAACTCCTATAGAGATGCATCATGTTTCGGGTCTTTACGTCGAGTTGATACAGCTCCTCCCGAGTCCACTTAACTACTCTAAATGAGTAGAGTAAGATTGGAACGGCAAGCATATTTGTTGCAGCAACTTTGTTCTTCCCCAACAGTTCCGATGACCAGATCTGTCGAAGTTTGTGCTGATACTTGCCGCGGAGAGAGTTTTTCACTGCTGTTACCTCTTGGGAGTGGCGTTGTTCCACCCCGAGGTAAGTATACGTCTCCCGGCATCCATATGGTGTAAGATGCTTCCATCAATGAGCTGCACATCCTCTCCGTAATCCCCGCATCGTCCTCTTTTGAGATGGACCATTGCACATTTGTCTATCCCGAATGTCATACCCACCACCCTCAAGGAATGATGGAGATCCTTCTCTCCAGAGGCATAAAGTTTAAAATCATCCATATAAAACAAATGGGTTGACCTTGTGCCTACGGTTTCCGGGGGTGCCACAGTTGTACCCTCGATTATTTCTGAGCGCAATGGATAATGGCAATAGTGAGATACAGAAGAGAAGGGGACTGAGGGAATCACCCTGAAATACACCCCTTCTGAAAGTGATCCACTCTGTTTGGACTCTTGCTTGACCAGATGTTATGGTTAAGCGAGTTCGCCAAAGTGGTATCAGTTGTTCAATGCATCTCACTATACGTTTTGCTCTGATGGTCGAGAAGGACCACATCAGGTTTATTAGTTCGTATGAGCCTGAGGGTGGGGAACGAATAGTTCCAATAAATTTGGCACTTCTCGTTCCCCAGAACGGATTCAATATCCCCCGGAGCGTAGGGCAACACCGGTGTCTCGTCAATACTGTAAGCGTGACGTAGATGGTAATATAGCACTCTTAGGGCCGCGTTATGTCGATGGATATAGGCCGCATATGCTGGACATGCTGATAGCAAGTGTATTAGAGTCTCGGGCGCCTAGTGGCAGGCCCTGCATATTGTATCAGGAACCTCTATACCCATCACGCGACTGCGGTAGACTGAGGTGCTGTAGACACCATCCTGGCAAGCCATGATGAACCCCTCAGCTTCCGACTTCAGCCCACTCGACCTGAGAAAAGCGAAGGTCAGGTGCTTTGATAAGCCAAGGTCTCCAATGTTATTGAAGAAGACCAAATACATTGGCTTATCCTTGTGTTTCCGCAGAAGTAAGGTGATCTCTGCGGCTTTTATCTGAACTTTTTGCTGAACAGTTTCCAACTCGGTGACAGAGTTGTGGTCACCTCGTTCAGTGTCGAAAACTATACCGAGTTCATCAGCTGCTCGGCCAGCTGCCCCAAAGAGAAATGCTCCAGTTCCTGCTCTCTCATGGTCACGGACCATGCAGAGAAGGGGAACCGAACTTCTGACGACTTTACAGGCTGTATCCAGTATCATTCTGTCATTTCTGTCATGTAGACACCCCAAACTCAAAAGTTCACGGACTCCCTGTTGTCGGGGGAAGTACAAACGTGGAATGAACGATTTGAAATGCAAACTCCTATAGAGATGCATCATGTTTCGGGTCTTTACGTCGAGTTGATACAGCTCCTCCCAAGTCCACTTAACTACTCCAAATGAGTAGAGTAAGATTGGAACGGCAAGCATATTTGTTGCAGCAACTTTGTTCTTCCCCAACAGCTCCGATGACCAGATCTGTCGAAGTTTGTGCTGATACTTGCCGCGGAGAGAGTTTTTCACTGCTGTTACCTCTTGGGAGTGGCATTGTTCCACCCCGAGGTAAGTATACGCCTCTCCGGCATCCTGATGGTGTAAGATGCTTCCATCTACGAGCTGCACATCCTCTCCGAAGTCCCCGCATCGTCCTCTTTTGAGATGGACCATTGCACATTTGTCTATCCCGAATGTCATACGGATAGCATGCGTGTACTCTCCCACCACCCTCAAGGAATGATGGAGATCCTTCTCTCCAGAGGCATAAAGTTTAAAATCATCCATATAAAACAAATGGGTGACCTTGTGCCTCCGGTTTCCGGGGGTGCCACAGTTATACCCTCGATTATTTCTGAGCGCAACGGATAATGGCAATAGTGAGATACAGAAAAGAAGGGGACTGAGGGAATCACCCTGAAATACACCCCTTCTGAAAGTGACCCACTCTGTTTGGACTCTTGCTTGACCAGATGTTATGGTAAAGCGAGTTCGCCAAAGTGGTATCAGTTGTTCAATGCATCTCACTATTTTGTCGGGTACCGCAAGGCATCTGAGCAAATGCAAGATGAGGTCATGCGAAATTGCCTTACGGTAATCGATCCAGGTCATAGAGAGGTTACGCTTATATTGTATCGAGTCCAGTGTTACTGCGTTATTATTAATATTACTATTAGTGTTAAATCTAAAATATCAATATAAAAAGGAACATTTCCCATACCAACATGTTTCAAATAATCTAGAAACAATGAATCACTTACGGAATCTTATGACATAAGACATCCCTGTCAAACCTCCCACCCTCTAGTCGAGGAATTCTCTGATAGTTCATTCCTCTATCGTCAAGCTTCCCATACATATTCGAAGAGGGTGCAAACCTTTCAATTTCTTTCTTAAGATAGCATTTATAAGCCTCACCAAAGGCATCCTTTTGCATTTTTATCTGTTGATCCTCCCTTCTATATTTGCAACAAGAACAATGGTGAATTTCTCGACCCTTCAAACCTGTATCATGTTTACTAGCATTTTCTTTGGCCATTTCCACAGTCACTCTTATTCCCAGTAATTTTCGACCATTCAATTCGTGAACGGCTTCTTCAGCATATCTGCTATCGTCAAATTCCACGAATGCATATCTGTTTTTGATGATAATTCTGTTCAGTTTACCATAGCCTTTCAAAAAACATTCCAAATCTCTCTTTTTCGTTTCACGAGGTAATCCACCAACATACAACGTATATCCTCTCATATTTTAGTGAAGGAAACAATGGATGGATGACAAATTTTAATTTACCTATGGCACGTAACACTGAGTAACAAATACTAAGGCTTGTACTTCTAACACTATTCAGATTGAAACACATTGAATACACTGCTAGGCATAAAATTAGGGTCATCCTATGAGTTAAAGTTATCTCGGAAATTTATGTTTTCATTTGAATTAATTTGGATGAACCATACTGTAATGAATTTCTTCAAAAATATAGTTGTTGATGTTTCTGTGATAAGCATTTGTCAAAAAAGTAGCCTTCGCCTGAATTCCTAAAAACCAATATTAGTATACCTTTTTTTTCTATGGTTTCATTTGTCAATTGCCCTTTGTTTGTGTACTGTTGTTAATATTGGTGTATCGAAATGAACATGAATTTCTTACACCTTAGCTTGTGTTCAATAAACCCTACAAAATACAAATGAAACATTTATATTCCACAGATTTGTAGCAATATTTCATTTGAGAAATCATGTGATTTTTCTGATTTGGCAACGTTCAGAAGTTATAAACTCATTACAATTCCTACAGAAAATAGTAAAAACTCTCACTCACAAGTATAATTAAAACACTAACGTTATCTCACATTCACATTATTCTACATTTCACGTCAATAACGGATACTGAAAAAACGCTTCTAGAATGAAAACAGAGGATCCGCTCATACTCATCCAAAAGGTTTCTGAACTTCTTCCGCATGCACCTTGTAAGTAATAGGTTCGTTCCAACCTTGAGTCACCAACAGATTTCCAACAGTTTGTAAATCGTTGTCAACGCGCATGTCTGTTAAATATTGGTTTCTGATTAATTTGAAATTTCTGATTGGAACAGCTGATAGTTCAACTAAAATTTGGCATGGAATTTCAACATAACCTTTAAAAAACTAATCAATAGAGTTTATTCTATGATTTTCACAATAAGGGTTTTACAAAAACCGCGACACGTGTTTCGCTATACAATAGCTTCTTCAAGCATAACTATAACCCAGTTATGCTTGAAAAAGCTAACCTAACCTTTAAAAATAAATCTAATCAAGTATTTCTGGAGAGTAAAAGAAGGTTGTAGCATTTTATGTCTCTATTCTATTTACTAATCAACATGGAACTGCGAGGTAAGGAGGTCACCGCAATAATCAATTTGTGTAATTGAAGATGTTCATATTTTAGGTACACTTGAAGAATTCCTAATTTTTCCTGCGCCAGCAAATACATAATTTATTTTATAACAACTTTTGCTGGTTATGTTGTTTGCAATTTGCATGAACATAAAACAGAAACAGTAATGTGGAATACGCATGCGTCAGATTAATGGTTAGAAGATAATCCACAAATCATTCTGATAGATTTCGAACAGGTTTGAATCTTGGATAGAACAGAAAACTGATAGTTTACTAATGGTTGGAAACTCACGTTAGAACGCAATCACATTACTGCGCAGAATCGTGACTGTCAGAAACTATTTCTGACGCTGGTTGGAACGAACCTAATGATTTTCCATGTGGTCTCTTCTACCGAAACCCTTACTACAAATGCCGCAAATGTGAGGTTTACTTCCAGTATGGCTCATGTATGAGCCCACGTGTATATGCATGACAAGAGAACTTAGCAACATAATAACAACGGATTGTTTGAGAGTAGCTTATTTCGTCATTTCTCACAGAATAATGACCCTATCCTCGTAGGTCGAAGGGTTATCAGTGTTTCTGTACAAAAAGTACAGCTCAATGGAATCGGCATTCCGTTTATACACTCTTCGAAGCTTGATAACAAACTTTTATTGGACTGTAGTAGAAATAAACAAGGATGCCTAACAGGCCTTCTTACAGAACACTCTCATTTGAATATCATATGCAGAGACTCTGACTGTCGGAAGACAAAGTGAAGAAGTTCGATCTTTCTCTTGAAGGTGGTCACTTGGTGATCGAAACACGTGTCGAGGTGTTAAAATAACGGTTAGGTGTGGGGAAAAACTCCAGTAGTATACGATAGCAGTCTCATACATTCTCTATTATCAAAAAAATTATTCAGTCAAGCTATGAAGGAAGTTTACCCAATACGAAGAGAAGAGAATAAAAGTTATAGAACCTCAACCTACTTAGGCCAACCCACTACAAATATTTCAGATTTTCTACACAGCAAAGGTGAAAATACTGCTTTCAAAATCAACAACAACTCAGGCATGCACATTAAGAATAACAAAGATGAAAATTCAGTTTCAGAAAAATCAGGAGTGTATACATTATCGTGTGGGTCATGTCCGATATTTTATATAGGTCAAACTGGAAGAGCGTTCAAAGCCCACATAAAGGAACACAAATATAGTTTCCAGAATGGAAAAATAAATTCCACATATGCCGCTCATTTAATCTCAGAGGGCATGAGTTCAACCATGAATACGAGCCCCTCCATTTCCAGAAGAAAGGTATGAAACTTAATCTGTTGGAGAGTATGGAAATAAACAAATTCAAAAACTCGTTTGATCTGAACGATCAAACGGAATTGAATTATTCGCCATTATTAAATCTGTTCATTGCCAGGTAAAAATAGTTAGGTATACTTACAGGTATGCTTTCGAAAAATTTATTGATATACTTGATAAATTCATAGCTGACCTCTTCAAGTAGATACATTATTAAGGCAGACGAGTAGAAAATAGGTATAAACTGTATTAATTAGTTTTTTGTTCATATTTTTGTTCGAAAGATTATAAAATAATAATGTAACCTTCATATTATGTGTATTTCACAATTACCACGAATATCAATGATTAGCTAGTAAAGTTTGTGAGAAAGTCGACTAAAGCTGTAAATGAAACTTCGATATTCACGTTTAAGTGCTAGTAAAATAATAACATCATATCTGAACTGTGCTTTAGGGCGTCATCGATTCAACTAGTGATAAGCTACTCCCTGAACTTGAATTCAACTTACTATGCATATACAGAATGATATAACATGTCAAGTTCCAGCTTAAAATAAAAATGTCGAGAATACAATAAAATGCAAGTATTTATCCATGGTACAAACTGGTAAAATGATCAAGTATTTACTTCCATGTATATTTATTTGCACAGTATACTTCTCCCTGTTCCAACTGAATGATGATACTCGCTGACGGATGACTGCACACCATTCTTCATTGAATTGTTTTATATTAAAAAAAAATTATTTTAATAGCATTCATTTTTGTTCCGCAGATTTGTAGCAATATTTCATGTGGGAAATCATATGATTTCGGACGACAGAAGCTCATCACAAATTCATACAAAAAACTATTCCAATCACAAATATTATCTAAACACTAACGTTGTCTTACTAACGTTGAAACATAATACATGTCTCATTATTGAAAAACTCTTTACATTGTATGAAAAATCCCAATTACATGATTTTCCTACCATGACTTATACCAAACCTACGCCTAAACCCAAAACTCAATACATATTTTCGATTCAGCTGAAGATGCCTGAAAAAAAATTAATCGAGTACCTATTCCCAAGCAGTGCAATAAACTGATCTGGAAAGAGCAACATTTCATCCATTTTTGTTCCACAGATTTCAAGCATTATTTCATTTGAGAAATCATGAAATTGGGCTACGTTTGGACTACGATAACTAGAATCCAATAATAGTTTTATTTATTCCATTCCAGGGTTGAGAGTATAGGATTTAGTGTCAATAATAGTGTCAATAGTGTCAAACATACTCAAAACGAATTGGAAATTTGAAACATATAACATGTCTGTTTATTAAAAAACTCATTACAAAAAACAGTAAAAACCTCTTACATTCACAAATATCATTAAAACACTAACATTGTCTTACATTCAAAATATACTATATTCTACGTCAATAACGAACACTGAAGAAACGCTTCTAGAATCAAACTAGAGGACACGCTCACACTCATCCCAAAGGTTTCTGAACTTTTTTCGCATGCACCCTGTAATGATTCTCCATGTGGTCTCTTCTACTAAAATCCTTACCACAAATACCGCAAATGTGAGGTTTACTTCCAGTATGGCTCATGATATGTCGCTTCAAATCCACCTTGTGACTGTACTGTTTGGGACAATCGGAACATTTAAAAGGCTTGTCTCCCAAGTGTTTCTGCATATGTCTATGCAGAGTATCATCATTTAAAAACCTTTTCCCGCAGGTAATACACCTTAATGACTGCCCTCCAGTATGAGCAACTCTGATATGCTGCTTCAGATGACTAGAATATTTGAAGCACTTATCACAGCAGTCGCATCTGTGCTTCTTAGGTGTTGGCTCGACTAACTGATTCCAACAGGCTGGAGCCTCTTCCTGGTCTATACAGAATGGTTGTGGTTCTGCCGACCCCAAACCTTCGCCCACTGAATCTACGCCAGAAGGCGTAATTACTTCGTACCTGTTTGACAATAGCGGACCCCCTTCAATTTTTTGCGATGAAATATTGATATCCTGGCAAGGAGGCGGAATTGATACGCACGCGTTCGCTAAAAGCGGCGTACTCCCAACTCCTTGCCATGAAATATTGATATCCTGGCAAGGAGGCGGAATTGATACGCACGCGTTCGCTAAAAGCGGCGTACTCCCAACTCCTTGCCATGAAATATTGAAATCCTGGCAAGGAGGCGGAGTTGTATCGTACGTGTCCGCTAAAAGCGGACTACTCCCAACTCCTTGCCATGAAATATTGAAAACCTGGCAAGGAAGCGAAATTGTATCGTACGTGTCCGCTAAATTTGAATTTCTGGCCTCCTCTAGATTCACCTCTTCTTCTGGAACGTTCAGGTACTCAAGTACTTCTTTGATCATTTCATTGGCTTTGATAGGAACAACATTCAGCGCCATTGTTTGTGCCGTTATATTCACCTCAGGTTGATTCGATTCCATATTTTGCTTTCACTTCTCTTCAATCACTTATCTTAACGTCAACAGTACCACAATATGATCACATATGTTTCATACGGATGGAGACGTGTCGATTTTATTAGCAATTTTCGAAACAGTCGGCCGTCCGCTTGACAAATGGCCTGTACCTGAGAAATTTGTAATTGTGAGACAATACTATTAAGATTAGGTTATATTAGAAATGGGTAGAGAATGGATCATATATTAATTCCAACTGTGGCTTGATATAAAAGTGATACTAGAATGAATACTTTCAAATTTTTTTCTCACGTGTCTCAATCCTATTCTGGAATAGTGACTACTATATTACTTAGAAAGAAATGAGGAACTCATTCCTGAAAACCTCCGTACATTTATGAAAACAGTTGTATTAAATAGAAAATCTATATTCATTGGTGACATACCAAAACCTTCAAAAGTCAATTACGGAGTAACACACTGTACATTAATAGAAACAGTTGTACTGAACAGAAAACGTGGGGACAAGAATATTATGGGATCATATGAAAAACCCTAAATCTGTTTACATCCTACCTCAAAAGCCTCCAGCAATTTGTTAAATTCAACGGTGACATACCAAAACCTTCAAAAATCAATTACGGAGTACGACATGGTTCAGTCCTGGGTCCTGTATTATTTATTATTTACATTAATGATATGTCTTTTTGTTGAGTGACACTACGCCTTACAATCTACTTTCTAATGCTAATCCATCTAAAAAGTTTTCAGCAAACTAGTCTAGACGAAATTATCCTACTATAAATAATCATAAAACCAAAACATTAAATTTCTCAACCGAGAAAATAATGAACCAATGAAGCTTTTCGTATTTTGACTCATCTTTGAATTTCTTTCCATGCATTCACAAATTATAAAAGCGCCTATCCACGTGTATATGCATGATAAGAGAATTTAGTAACATAATAACAACGGATTGTTTAGGAGTAGCTTATGTATTTCATCAGATTCAACTCAGCTGAGGATGCTTGAAAAAAAAATCATTGAGTTCCTACTTACAAGCAGTGCAAAAATCTGATCAGGAAGTATTAACATATCACTCATTTTTGATCCACAGATTTGTAGCATTATTTCATTTGAGAAATCATATGATTTTTCTGATTTGGCAACGTTTGAACGAAATTAATTTGAGTCCAATATTACCTGTTGAGTTCTATTTATTTCAGAGTTGAGAATACGATTCAGTGAACAAGCATAGGTACTCAAAACTAATCGTAAATTTGAAACATAATACATCTCTGGTTATTGAAAAACTCATTACAAATTCTATTCTGGCCTCCACTGAATACTTATCCTCATCTGGAACGTAATTCAGAAACTCAAATACTTGTTTGATCATTTCACTGGCTTTGATTAGAACTATGTTCTGATAGTGATACTGTATCGTACCTGTCCGATAAGAGCGGACTTCTTTCAATCCTACTACACGTCGAGTGACTTATTCAATTGCCTTTACGATGACAAATAAAACTGATCACGATTAATTCTTCAGTGATCCTTCGTTTCTTTGCTGAAAGAGGTGCAAGTATAGAAACCTTCGCAAAACAAAAGTATAAAAACAACAATAAAAAAGATTCATCGTAAACACTTCAATGCGGAACTTATACCCGGTGGTACGAGTCGAAATCTCCCAGAGCAGATTTGGTAAAAATGTACTCGAATTTGAGACGTGAAAAGACCCTGGTAGAAAGAGTTTAAAGTTTGACGTTTCAGGAAAGGATGATCGGTGATGATTAGTTGTTGGTCCTGGTCCTTGCCTGAGTTAGGCACTTGTGGGTATGCAGAAATTATTTACCTATGCATAAGTATGTCGCTTGTAGTGTTTTGTATAGTGCCTGTTTTATTCGATAGGTATATGTTTATTCATTAATGTAGTTATTTATTGTTAATTTTATTACTGATATGTCTAATATCATAATGATCAGAAAGACGAACAAATACAACAACAACAAAAATCAGCAAAGAAAGTGAGTAATGCAAGTGAAGCTGTAAACAAAGTGTCGGCATTATTGAATGGAACTGACCGATACTTGATGAAAATCCATATTAAAAAACTGATTAATACAGTTTATTGTATGATTTTCACTATAAAGGGTTTTACAAAAACCCTTTATAGTATTTTCCATAAGCTGATAAATGTGCCCTTGTGAGAGACAAATTTTAATAAAGAACTGAATATACCCACATAGCAATAGATATTCCAGGTATATTTCATGAATATACATTTAAGGATATTGTATTATGCTATGAATATGCCATGGATATATATATCTTCTGGAGAATATTCCCTGGAAGTGCTCCTGGCGAACCTTTGATATATTTTAAGAATATTCCTTGGGAATATTCTTGGAATATCTTATAATATTCTTAGAATATCTAAGGTATATTCTATTAAGAATATTCCAGGAATAGAACCCGAGGAATATTCATAAAATATTCAGGATATTCTTAGTTTATTGTAGGAATATACAATAGAGAAACACCATAGAATATTCTTTAAATATATTTTATGAATATTCTAGGAATATTTGGAATATTCCAAGAATGTGACGAGTAACCGCTATTAGGCATGTATATATTGCATTTTGATACAAGATTCACACAAGTAATAAAACACATAATATTCATAAACAAATATANATTCAAGGGAGAATAATCCATTTATAGACATTCTATGCACATTCTTTCGGGAATAATCCTGCCATATTCATTCAAGCATATTCTATGAATATTCTAAAGGCATGTATATATTCCAAGAATATTCTATGAATATTTGGAATATATACGTTCATTTTATGATATACAGGGAATATTCCATGAATATCTAGTGCTGTGTGGGTAATAAAGCAAATAGCAGTCAACAATGTTAACGATAACGGTCTTATACATTCTCTCTTATTAAAAATTTATTCAGTCAAGCTTTGAAGGAAGTTTACCCAATTCGAAGAGAAAAGGATAAAAGTTATAGAACCTTAACCTACTCATGTCAACCCACTACAAATATTTCAGAGTTTCTGCACAGCAAAGGTATAAATACTGCTTTCAAAACCACTAACAACTTAGGCATGCACATTAAGAATAACAAAGATAAAAGTTCAGTTTCAGAAAAGTCAGCAGTTTATAAATTATCGTGTGGGTCATGTCCGAACTGAGAAAGCATTCAAAGTATATATACAGGTATACTTTCGAAAAATTTATTGATATAGTTAATGAATTCATACCTGACCTTTTCAGGTAGATTCATTATGTAGGCACACGAGTAGGTATTAGGTATAAACTGCATTAATTAGTTGTTTCTTGTCCATACTATTGTTTGAAGGGCCTTAAAATAATAATACAATATTCATATTATATTATTTCACAATTACCAGTAATATCAATAATTAGCTAGAAACACTACTATCGTTAATTATTCATTTAATGTAATAACGGCTTCATTCTTCCTAAAAATCCATCAAAAAAAGGTAATGAGAAGTCAAAAATTTGTTAATAGATATAACTTGTTTCATTTAAAAATTTTTATTTATCTCATCTAAAAAAAGTATTGATGAACACTTTTGCATAGTTTGTGAGAAATCCGAGCCGAACTGTGAATGAAAGTCCTACATTAACGTTTAAGTGATAGCAAAACTGCCAATGAAGTGTCAAATTACAACGAAACGTAAAAGTATCATTTCTCAATAATTTTTTTGATGGGCAAAATTGTTGAATACGACAAGTTACTGATAAATAGAAGATTTTTATTTGTGAAAAATACTTTGAATTTTACGCAGTAACTTGTCGGGGTAAACTAAAGTTTGCCCTTCTACACTTGTATAAAGGTCTCCATTATAATTTATATATTTTTTTCAGATTGTGGAAGGTAACAATTACCCAAAAAAGGTCGATAAAAAACATTCCCCTCCACAAAAAATGACTTTCGTTGAACATAAAATAAAAATGTCAAGAACACATCAAAATGCAAGTTTTTATTCACATCACCAAAAGATAAAATAATCAAGCATTCACTTCCATATATATTCGTACTTACTCTACACTTCTCCCTGATGATGACACTCGCAGAGAATTCACTTAAAATCATCCCAATGGTTTCCGTACTTCTTTCTTATGCACTCGGGAATGATTTACCATGTGGTCTTGTCTTCCGAAACCCTTACCACAAACCCCGCAAATATGAGGTTTTTTACCAGTATGGCTCATGATATGTCGCTTCAAATCCACCTTGTGAGCGTACTGTTTGGGACAATCGAGACATTTGAAATCTTTATCTCCCAAGTGTTTTTGTAAATGTCTTTGCAGAGTATCATCATCCAAAAACCTTTTCCCGCAGGTAATACACCTGAATGACTGCCCACCAGAATGAATAACTCTGATATGCTGCTTCAGATGACAGGAATATTTGAAGCACTTGCCACAGAAGTCGCATCTATGCTTCTTAGATGTTGGCTCGACTAACTGGTTCGAAGATGCTGGAGCCACTTCCTGCTCTAGACAGAATGGTTGTGGTTCTTCCGACCCCAAACCTTCGCCCACTGAATCTACGCAAGGAGGCGTAATAACTTCGTACCTGTTTGACAATAGCGGACCCCCTTCAATTTCTTGCGACGAAATATCGACATCCTGGCAAGGAGGCGGAATTGTATCGCATCTGTCCGCCAAAAGCGGACTACTCCCAACTCCTTGCCATGAAATATTTAAATCATGACAAGGAGGCGATATTGCATCGTACAATTTCACCAAAAGCGGACTACTCCCAACTCCTTGCCATGAAATATTGAAATCCTGGCAAGGAGGCGGAGTTGTATCGTACGTGTCCGCTAAAAGCGGACTACTCCCAATTCCTTGCCGTGAAATATTTGAAAATATGACTTCCACTGAATACACATCGTCTCCTCGAACGTCGTTCAGGATTTCCAATGCTTCTTTGAGCATTTCACTTGCTATAATTGGAACTGTGTTCTGAATCACACCACCAAACGATGATTCGTTCGGCGCCATTGTTTGTGCCGTTATATTCACCTCAGGTTGATTCGATTCCATATTTTGCTTTCACTTCTTTTCAATCACTTCTCTTAACGTCAACAGTACCACAGTATGATCACATATGTTTCATACGGGTGGAGACGTGTCGATTTTATTAGCAATTTTCGAAACAGTCGGCCGTCCGCTTGACAAATGGCCTGTACCTGAGAATTTTGTAATTGTGAGACAATACTATTAAGATTAGGTTATATTAGAAATGGGTAGAGAATGGATAATATATTAATTCCAACTGTGGCTTATTATAAAAGTGATTTTTGAATGAATACTTTCAAATGTTTTTCTCACGTGTCTCAATCCTATTCTGGAATAGTGACTACTATACTACTTAGAAAGAAATGAGGAACTCATTCCTGAAAACCTCCGTACATTAATAGAAACAGTTGTACTGAACAGAAAACGTCGGGACAAGAATATTATGGGATCATATGAAAAACCCTAAATCTGTTTACATCCTACCTCAAAAGCCTCCAGCAATTTGTTAAATTCAACGGTGACATACCTAAACCTTCAAAAATCAATTACGGAGTAAGACATGGTTCAGTCCTGGGTCCTGTATTTATTATTTACATTAATGATATGTCTTTTTATTGAGAGACACTACGCCTCAATTTCAGATAACACATTACAAGTCTTGACCAATATTATTAAGGCATCATTTCAATCAGAAAAATGTCCTGATTTTCTGAAGGTATCATTGGTAATACCACTATATGAAGGAGGAAATCAGAACGACCCCTCGCATTATCGGCCTATTTCCCTAAATCACAAATTAGGAAAACTTATAGAAAAACTAGTCAAGCTGAGGATAACTGTATTTCTGTCAAAACATAAAATCATCAATGAAGAACAGTTTGGCTTTCAAAGTGGTAAAGGCATTAATGATGCAATTTTCTCACTCATGGAAAAAGTTTATACTGGAATCAGTATAATAGCTTATCACTAGTTGAATCGATGATACCCTAAAGCACAGTTCAGATATGATGTTATTATTTTACTACCACTTAAACGTGAATATCGAAGTTTCATTTACAGCTTTAGTCGACTTTCTCACAAACTTTACTAGCTAATCATTGATATTCCTGGTAATTGTGAAATACACATAAAATGAAGGTTATATTATTATTTTATAACCTTTCGAACAAAAATATGCACAAAAAAACTAATTAATACAGTTTATACCTATTACCTACTCGTCTGCCTTAATAATGTATCTACCTGAAGAGGTCAGCTATGAATTCATCAAGTATATCAATAAATTTTTCGAAAGCATACCTGTAAATATACCTAACTATATTTACCTGGCAATGAACAGATTTAATAATGGCGAATAATTCAATTCCGTTTGATCGTTCAGATCAAACGAGTTTTTGAATTTGTTTATTTCCATACTCTCCAACAGATTAAGTTTCATACCTTTCTTCTGGAAATGGAGGGGCTCGTGTTCATGGTGGAACTCATGCCCCTCTGAGATTAAATGAGCGGCATATGTGGAATTTATTTTTCTATTCTGGAAACTATATTTGTGTTCCTTTATGTGGGCTTTGAACGCTCTTCCAGTTTGACCTATATAAAATATCGGACATGACCCACACGATAATGTATACACTCCTGTCTTGCATGTTATGCAGTCAGAGTAGTCGCAAATGAACTTGGTTTAACAGCAGCTAGGACTGTTTATTTTTCTTTGGTGGAATCTCACTTGAGATATGGAATTCCATTTTGGGGAGTATGTAGTGGATATCTACTTCAAAATATTTTAGTTTTGCAAAAACTAGCCATGATATATGTGCAAATCAAAACGTACAGACTCTTGTAGATTACTTTTCAACAGTCATGGAATTCTAAAATAGGCCTTCTTACTGGTCACTGTCATTAGAATCATCATATGCAGAGACTCGAACTGTCGGAAGACTGTGTGTGTGGAAAATGATGGAACAGCAGATCACATACTTTGTGCCTGCCCCGCTGGGAACTGAATCAGGTTTTGAGAGTTCGGCAGAGCCGAAACGCGCATCGAGGAGAGTATTGTATTTCTGGTGATTGGGAAAAGTACTTTTTTTCGGATGGATACAGTTGACCTGTAGGAGAATTTGATGCAACTGGATCAACAAGGTAATAAATATCTGGATTAATATAGCAAAAGAAAGACAACTGATGAAGACTTTGGACATAACCTAACATAACCATCTGTGGCTAATCTTCAGTGGCTCTCTTCATAGCTCTCCAAGTAATAAATCATGTGATTCAAGTGGTTCGGACTTTATTAAACTCGAACTATATATTTTTTTGTTAAATTACCTATATTTTCACTTATATGATCTAATTGAGGTATATGCTGGAAACTAGGAGGAATTCACTAAATGACAGCCATTGATGACAAATTAAAGTTTTGGACTAGAAAAAGTTGTTTTTTACAGGGTCAGATAAAATTGGCCAATTTTGAAATATAGTAATTTGTGGGACATTTTATGTTCCTACTTTCATTTTGTATAGGAAAGTAATTCAGAAAAAATTGATAGTTTACAAGTTATGAGCAGAAAACAGCCGGAAAATGAGGTTTTTCAACTTTTTTGTATTTCCTTCAATGTTTCATCACAAAATTTTGCTAGAAACCCTACATACGAAGTAGAAGAAATCAAAACTATCCCAAAACTTTCCTACCAAAAATACAAATTTTTTGGAGTAATATGTGTGAAATTTTTCATTTTCATTTTTTTGTCATTTATTGCAATTCTAGATCATTCATCTGGTACATTTTTATTCATCTTTTGTTCTACATAATTATGCCCCTTCACTTTCTCAAACAACAAAATTCTATCAAGAAAGTAATAATAATGAACAGCTCTAAAAATAAAATAACTACTACCAAAATTTTGTCGAAACTTTCATTTTACAAGCACGTTATTGTCGTGGCAGTCAAACTGAAATATGCTTTCGAAATACCTGATCCTATCTCGATTTTTTTCTTTCTCCATCTCGCTTCGGAAAAACATTAAAAATATTCCATACGTTCTTATTTCAATATAACTGTTTCACAATGCAAATGACGACGTTCCCAATCGGAAAACCACTTTAAATTCAAATTCGTCGGAATAATTCCAAGCATCCGAATGAAAACGCGAAGCGAAAGAGAAAAGAGTCGTATGAAGTTATTTTGCAAACGGTACGCCTAATTTCTGAGGAAGAATGGAACTACGAACTGCTAATTTGAACAGCTGCCTCCCGTTCGAACGTCCAATGCATTTAAATGTCACATTTCGCTCCCAAAATTCGCGGACGGTTGTTGGCAGCGGGCTAAATTGCTAAAATATAGGTCCGATCACAATGACGTTGCATTGTATGAATGCGGATGACCTTTGCATGTCGTTGGGGTTATTAATTCCTGCTAGGGAGAGTGGCTCAGTTTACAACGTTACCGTTAAGTGTGAGAGACTTCAAAATTCATTAACTAGGAGCATTACCGAATTGGATGGCACAAGAGACACAAATGCTTTAGAAAATACTCTTTTATACAAATTCATAAACGTACCTACACTCTACCATATTCCTTTATTCATACATTTTTCGAAAAATAAAATATATTCAGTTGTAAAAACCTTTAACTTTTCGTCTGTTTGAGAAATCAAAGGAAGTGAATTTTCTGCCGTAATATTTTTCATCTGCATCTAGTCTCGAATCCCACTCGTGACACCACTTTCTGACTCGCTTATATCCGACTGCATTCAACCTCTTCTAAAAACCTCGACATGTAGATTGTAACTCAGTTTGCAAAGTCCGTCATTTGCATATCATCACTGCGAATCTGAGTAGATTGGGGGGGTATCGCATTAGAAGCGAGTCTGGGTGGCGGTAAGCGAAGGGTTTACCAGATTAAGTTGTGCCGCCATCAAAATATTACGTAATTATCCTGAATTGTTATCATTGTTATTTTACATTAGATGTACGAGCTTTGGGGTGCTTTCTCCGTCACGATATATGGGAGACTTCCAACATTTCAGGCGACTTTGGTGGTAGGTAATACGCGTTTCATGAAAATGATGATAATAATTCAAATGAATGAAAAATGTCGTTGATATCTCACATGCATTTTGTTTTATTCGAATTTAAAGACAGGAAGCGCTTGATAAAAGATCCTGTATAAAGGTATTATTATTTATTTATTTATTTATTTCTCGGTCAAGTACACTACAGAATCATTATAAAATCCCAAATGGTACAGAACCAGTTTCCGTTAATGAAGCAAAAATAGTATACATAGCTTGTACAGTCGATACTGAACATCATTGCTTTCAAAAACAAAACCAGACAAAGCAGTACGGTATCAGTTTGATGTTTCATGATGAATTTCATCAGTTCAACCTTCCATTGTCTGATATTATATAAAATTATTTGAAATCCCTGAAGAACTAATATTATGAAAAAAATAATTGAAAATAAATAGCTCAAAATAACAATTATATTACCTGAAATGAAATAATAGTCAAATAAAATACAAGTAAGAATAAAACAATTGAAGAAAACATAAAAAGTTAGGAGATTCCAAGCCACGTTAGTTCACAACGTTTCGATTGTTAGTATCCACAATCGTCTTCGGGTGATGACTGGACTGATTCCTCCGAGAGATGACTATATATGGGCTCTGAACGGCCTACGTAGAGACAGCACTATCAAGATCCTACCTGCAGATAAAGGAAACGCTACTATGGTGATGGATCCTGTTCTCTACGACCAGAAGATCGAAGAGGTTCTTCAGAAAGTACAATACATGAAGAACGTACGGGACCCTACTACATAAATTGAAAGGAAGTTGTACCAAATTTTGAAAAATCACCAAGTATATTTTTCGAGGAAGTAGAGAGTATCGCTAACACCGCACCACAGTAAGCCCCCACACTTGTATGGACTATCCAAAATCCACAATATTGCAATTCTAGATCATTCATCTGGTCTATTTT